TGTTTAATGATGAATATATGAGAACATAATTAAATGCTTCAAATGAGTAAATGTTAATATCAATACACTGTTGACAGGCATTCTTAAGCATTTGAGCAGACAAGCTAATTGTAGAAAAGCTCATGTGACCCTCAGCTTTCACACAGTCAACTAAAAATCAATACGGGTCATCTACAAGTCAAAACCAACATCAATACCACACCTTATGAACTAAAGGTCCCTGTGACCTTGACATTTGACACAGTGACCTCAAAAGAATTAGGGATCATTTAACAGTCATGACTAACCTGAATGCAAAATATGAAGACAAAGGATTCCTACGTTATTTTGCGGACAAGCTTTTTTAGTGAAGACCTCCTGTCCTTGACCTTTGACCTAGTCACCTTTAAATCTATATGGGTAATCTATTAGTCATAACCAACGTTAATACCAAATATGAAGACTGTTGACCAAATCATTCTAAAGCAATTGCGTGTGCAAGCTTGTGAACTAAAGTTCCCTCTGACCTTGATCTTTAACCCAGTGACATCAATAGGGGTCACCTTATGGCCATGACCATCATCCATGTCAAATAGGAAGACTGTGGGTTTAAGGAATCTGAAGTAATTGGGCAAAAAAGCGTTTTAAAGTCAAGGGTCCCGTGACCTTGCCTTTTGATCTAGTGACCTCAAAATCAATAAGGATCATCTAATAATCATGGCTAACCTCCATGCTAAATATTAAGATTGTGAGTCAATGGATTTTTAAGTTATTTGGCGGACAAGTTTTTTTAGTCAAGGCCCCTGTATCCAAGATCTTTGACCTGGTGACCTCAAAATCAATAGGGGTCATCTACTAATCTTGCCAAATGAATATACCAAATATGACGACATTGAGTCAAAAGAATCTGAAAATATTGGGCGGACAAGATTTTTAGTCAAAGAACCCGGTGTCTTTGGCCTGTTGACAGGCATTCTTAAGCATTTGAGCAGACAAGCTAATTGTAGTTAAAGCTCCTGTGACCTTCAGCTTTCACACAGTCACCTAAAAATCAATACGGGTCATCCACAAGTCAAAACCAACATCAATACCACACTTTATGAACTAAAGGTCCCTGTGACCTTGACATTTGACACAGTGACCTCAAAAGAATTAAGGTTCATCTAACAATCATGACTAACCGACATGCCAAATATGAAGACTGTGGGTTAAAGGAATCTGAAGTTATTGGGCAGACACGCTTTCGAGTCATGGCCTCTGTGACATTGACCTTTGACCTGGTGTCCTTAAAATCAATAGGGCTCATCTACCAATCTATAAACAAAATATGAAGACTGTGGGTCAACGGAATCTTAAATTATATGGCGGACAAGAAAAAAACCGACGGATGGCCGGACGAGGAGACGTTTGGGGCTCGTCCGTAAAAAGATTGGGGCCATATGTAATATAATTTGCAACATTTAGCTGCAAAAGCACGACATCTAACGGCGAGTGTGACATTTACCGGCGAGTGCGAAATTAAACGTCAAGTGCGACATCAAAGGTCGCTTGGACATGCAACGGCGTCATAGTTGTTTTATTTTTACTTCAAGTTCGACTCATCCAAAACTTCTTTATATTTTTATTTATCCCCCTACCGTCAACTTTAAAATTAAAAGAAAATCTCTCGTAAAATATTTCATAAAATGTTGGCCTTATTTCATAATGTTACAAGCACAAAAAACAGTTCAATTACGATAATAATTCAGTGGTGCGTCGGCCAGATCCACTGTCGTCTACTTAATTTCTTGTGATAATGTAACGTTCCGGGCTGTACATATTTTCGCAAAACTTAAGAATTTAAAGTTTATTTTCTTGAAATAATGGTTGACCTGTAAGTTGGTTTTTTTCTGTAAGGACTATAAAACTGCTTTATCTTTATATACATTTTATGCATGTATCATACACTTAACATGTGTCTCATTTTTTCATTAAAAGTATCATCATATTGCATTACATTAAATTCCATACCCATACCTTTATCGCAAGATAAAGAATTAAGGCATTTCATCGTTATGTTGGTATTACCAATTAGTATTGGTAATGTAATGTTAATGTTAGTGTATTTTCAGTGATATCCAACAAGTTGGTGCGACTTTATACTAAACAGAATTATAATATATAGTTTGTTTCACAAAATAAAAAAACTGCACTTATGTATCACAATAAAAGTCATTTTCGTCTAAATGCAAATAAACAACAACAAAACAATAAAAACAAGGTATGCTGGCAGCAAATAAGTCATATGGTCAAGTTTTTGCGACCGACTTTTGAACTAGTGACCAAAAATCAATAGGGGTTATCGACGTTTATCACTAGTCATTGACGGTTATTGTGACCGTCAAGGTTGTGTGCAGCAATTTTATGACAAAGTTACGCAATAAAATATGCAAAAATTTTATTAATCCTATAGGCCTTCTTAATGACAGCCGATTTGTTATATATTACAGAAGACCTTAAAATATGTATACAAAAATCATTTTTTAGTTAAATAAAACATAACAACCAAGGAAACATGAGTAATTGAGTTATTGGTCGGAAACCGTCTTTATATACAAGGTCAATGTGACTTTGACATGTGACCCTTAAATCAATAGGGGTTATTTTCTGTCAAAGACCAATGTACCTGTGAAGTTTAAAGGTAAAGGGCCAATGAGTTGTTGAGATATTGATCAAAAAGCTTTTTACCTATAAGGTCAATGTGATCTTGACCTCCGACCCCTTGACCCCAAATATCTATTGAGGTCATATTCTGGCCAAAAGCAATGCATCTGTGAACTTTGAAGGTAAGGGTCCATGGGTTGTCAAGTTATTGATAGGAAACAGTTTTGACATACAAGGTCAATGTGACTTCGACCATTGACACCTTGAACCCAAAATCAAAAGGGGTCATCAACTTGCCAAGACCAATGTACCTACCCAAAGGCCTACGGCTTGTCAAGTCATGGATCGAAAATCGTTCAATATGACATTGACCTTTGACCCCTTGATCAACAAATCAATTGGGCTCATCTACTTGCGAAGGCCAATGCAGAAGGCCAACAGCCAATTGCTTGTCAGGTTTTTAATAGGAAACTATTTTTACATAGAAGGTCAATTTGACCTTTGACCCAAAAATCAATAGGGTTCATCTACTGGTCATGAACAATAATCATACCAAGTTTGAAGTTCCTAGGTGTAAGTGTTCTTTAATTATTGATCGGAAACCGTTTATACATACAAGATCAATGTGACCTTGACCTTTGACCCTTTGACCAAAACACTAGTAGGGTTCATCTATTGTTAATGATCAATTATCTTACCAAGTTTGAAGTTCCTAGGCCTAAGCTCTCATTAGTAATTGATTAGAAACAGGTTTTACCTACAAAGTCAATGTGACCTTTGACCCCTTGACCCCAAAATCAATAGGTTTCATATACCTGTCATGCACAATCATCATACTAAGTTTGATATTCATAGGCGCAAGCGTTCTTTGGTTATTGATCGGAAACCATTTGGTCTACGTACCGACCGAACGACAGACAACTAGACAAATGCAAAGCAATATACCCCCACTTCTTTTATTGGGGCATTATAAAAAGACTTTTGTAAAACGCGAACTGTGACTAAATGTTACGTAACATGCAATCCCAACAACTTTACCAAGTTCATCAGTTATACATTCACCAAATTTGTGTAAATTTACTGTTAAACTCGATTCTTAAATGCTTTGCCCCATTCGTAAATATCGTTTGTGTACAAAATATGGAAATACATGTATCATTATTAAGCTGAAGTGTAGCAGAATAATGGTCTTCAATTTTATTATGATGCACTCTGACAGAATGCCATAAATTATAGGCCAAGAGCTAGACACCAATCTTATTAATAGCATTCCTTATTCCTCACATTTGACCCCATAATGAAAAAAAAGTGGTTTCAAAGCAGTGTCCGCCCGCCAGGTTTGATTGTGTTACGTTGTGATAATTAGAGTCAAATATCAATATTTGACAAATGATTAGTATTTTTTATGTAACAAAAGATTAAACATATCATCTTCCAATCTAAGCAAAAATGCCATCATGGCCATAAATCGCTCACCTGAAATCTACTGCTTGGTTACATCATAACTACTCGATTCGGAGCAATAGTGGGTCATTTAGAGGTTTCTTTTTTGGGCCAAGGGACGTGATTTTTACATATATTGTAAAGAACCACAAATAAAGTGATAGTTCATACTTAAAATGCTAAAGATCTAAGCACTGTAGTTTCACACAAAAAAACTTAATTCTGTTTTACATCACAATGAATGCAGAAATTATGGATAAAAATATCTAATGGTTGTATTGATGTTTAGGTAGATTTTTTTCCGTCCATAATTTTCTTTATAATACTGCACGTTTGTAACGTCATTTTTCATTGGATAATCGTGACGTTTATATTATTAGTTATAAAGATCGTTGACAGGTTATGTGGCCCTATATAAACGGCTATTTGTAAATATAACCCGAGCCGTTAGAAAAACAGAATTCTTTAAGACAGCCAAACACGACACGATTGAAAATATCGCTGACTAGTTTTTGATTGAGTCAGTTCATGGACGGTAGTGGTATTTTCAAACTACCAACCACGCCCCCTAGTACCTGCTTAAGCAAAATACAAAATTAAACATGAACTGGCAAAATTTTGAATTTTGAAACATCCGCAGAAGTGTTCATATAACGATAAACATGGAACTTTCAATGTGACATGAAAAACTGCATATGATCCCTTAACGTGTGCCCTAAACGAGAATGCAATTGACGAAACTAAATAACATAGACTTCTAAAAAGATTAAACCTTTATTGGACAAGGCACTGGCTTAATGAATGTTAACCATCGGTTGAGTATTTTCCTCAATATATGATTCTTATTTTCTGTTCTACCGATGCTATATCAACAAACCTTATGCTTTGATATTTTGTGATCGTGAATTAACTATAAGTAGGGAGCACAGAACAACTTTATAAGTTACAAATTTATTGACATGTTCAGTGAATTGATATATTTATGATATCGCATAGAAGTTGTTTGGATTTCGGTTGAAGCTTTCCCCAAGCCGAATTTCGGTTATTTCAGGCGACTGTCCGCATGTTTGGTACGCAATCTAAAATAAAGTTTTTTATACTTTAAAGATACCTTAAATTCGTTTATGAGATTTACTGCTCACATAAAAGAATTTATGTCATTTGCCCAATTTTAACCGTTAAGTGTCGGGTTTTAGCTAAGTACGTCTTAGCAAATCAATATCAAGCCCAAAATTATGTGATGTTAATTAACCAATGATTACTTCAGATCTATCACAAAACATTCGATCAGGTGCTCTGCGCTATAAAGATCATGTAAGACAGGATCAAACAGTTTACTTTAAAGCTGCATGTCTCCAGATGACCCAAATTATTATTTAAAAAATCAAACTTGCGAAAAATGTTCTAAGATTTTAAAAATAAAAAGATTGTTGATTCAAGCAATAATTTACATGTTTTGTGTAAGTAATGACTGACTTTGCATTATTATTTTATATTGCGTTAATGACGCAGTAAGAGGTAATTCTGCATATTTGACCTCTCTTTTGTTTATTTACTTGGATTGTAAGTCCAGTTTACAATGTCTTAGGTACTTTTTCTGTTCGTTTCGTGTTGTTTTACTATTTAAAGTCATTTTTCAAAAATATCTTAACAATTAGCACTATTCTGAAGGCATCCTGCTTAAAATCGTTTCGTAATAAATAAATCTTTTATACAATTTATAAAAAAAATTCGGTCTATGCTTACCTTAAACCCATCACGTGTACATCCGAGAAATATCCCAGAGAGACTGTCATCTGACGAGTAAATTCCATGGTCAAAGCTTGCTATAAGTGTATTGTCAGGTATAGGATTTGACCTTGCACAACTTGACATTACCTAGATATAAAAATAACGGTTAGGCGGTAGCTATATATTACAAAATACGACAATTTTATATTACAAAATATGACAGTTTAACAATTACTGAAAACTAAAATTTACAAAAAAATGCCTGTCAATTATAACCTACATATAATAAATTTATGATAACTTCAATGTACACGAATACATGTATAACAAATACTGAAATATGGGGCAGAGTTTGACTTTCCCCGTTTGCTACTTAAAATTGCCTCACTTTTTCTAAAACATTACATTTTTACGTGACCCGAATATCCAATTAACTTTGAAAATGACAATCTGAAATTAAGCCACGACTTCCAAATGCAAGCTTTGTTTGCAACGAAACACTGGCGCTTTGAAAAGGCATAATATACTTATGTAAGGAGGAACACGGGCGCCTCCAAGGAAAAATGTTAATGGTTTAAAAATAATTATTCTGCAGAGTGTAACAGTCAATGTAAATTCGTTAACACGCACATTAAGTCCCTGTGACCACGTGGCTGGAGTTTTCGGTACATCACATTCCGTGAGAACAAAAGCTTCGTGAGATGTGTGCTGACCTTGGGAACATACTGCAGCATTCGGGTTAGAAACGGGTGTCTGATAAGCCAGAGCCACAATGGTTTTGATATGGTCACAGCTATAAAGAACTGCTGTAAATGCCGCTAAAAATGTAAAATAGACAACAGTTTATATTTTTTTATTTTTCTATTTTTATTTTATTTTCATTTTTATTCATTTTCTTTTTTGTTATTGCTTTTTATGTCATATCCTAATTATATCCTTAATTCTACATACACAGTAGCCTCACAAATTCATTTTTTTAAATTCCTAAGAAATGTCAAACATGTGTTTAATATAGGGTGAACGCAGGTGCAGAGTCAAATATCAAGTGAAACAGTTAAAATGGAAAATTCTGTAAAGGATAACACTAAATATACTCGAATTAAATTGAAAACCGATACTTTGTCGGCATAGGTGTGGTCGACGAAACTGAGAATGCCATTGCCGAAACAGAACAAGTTTTTGTTATTATTTTTGTTATTTTGTAGTTGTTTTTGACTTATAGTTTTCTGGAAATGATCGAAAGATGAGATCGTAAACAAAATTTTTAATAAGTGTCTATTGATTCGTATATGTCACCTATCGAAATAATGTAACACAAGTTAGATTTTCGATAGAATCTGTAATACATGAGTTGTGTCTTATTCGACTTAAATGGTACGAGCCTGAGACGATCTTTTAGGATCAGAAATATAACATCCCTGATTGAATGAACGGGGCGACTTTTTACAACCTCCACACGGCACAAACAATGCTGATGTGGCGATAAAATAGAGTAAAATATTTAGTAAGAATCCCTGAAAAAATCCCAACCCGGCAAAATTGACTGAGTCTGTTCATGAACGGTACTGTAAAGTGCAAACTACCGTCCACGTGCCTAGTACCAGCTTAAGCAGAATTAAACATTTAACATGAAATTGTACAATTTTGAATTTTGAAACATCCGCAGATGTGTTCATATGGCGGTTATCATGTTGTTGACCCCGGAAAAATAAAACGCATACGTAAAACTTATAGAATTGGATAAATACCGTCCAGGCACAAAAATTGTATGTATGTGGTCAGTATTAAATACAAATTGTGGATTTGGTTTAAAATTTTATGCTATAATAGCGTCAACGCACGTTTATTTTGTGTTATAGAGTCTGCAAAGTATCTCGGAACGGTTGGAGCCCTCGCCCTACCGGGCTCGAGCACCGTTCCGAGGGACTCTGCAGACGTTATAACACGGAAAACGTGTGTTAACCTTATATTATACATAACAAACTTTGTCAATTCGACCAACTCCATGGGTATCGTATGACGGTCTCAAGGTAGTAGCTATTGCGAGTGCACGTGCGCACGTGGCAGATTAAATATTTCTGATGTTCCCTTTAAGCTGTGGAAAAAACACTATGTATCACCTAAAATATTAGAATGTAAGACTCTTAAAAATACATGACCTAGATAGTTATGTATTATAAGAAGATTAAATCAGCATTTCGATGTTTTTGCCTTAACTTGTACGACACAGAAAAATAAAAAAGAATTTGATTCTATTTCTACATGTAAAGATTTTCATTTATACACATCGCTTATTATTTGGCCAAGAAATATTCGAAGCTAAATATATGTACAATCTGATTTAAATTAGCTCTATATAACGCTCTGCTTTTCATTTCCAATTACCTTTCACACAGCCAATCATAATTTTGAAAGCGATGTGATTTCTAATTTTAAACCGGTTTGATTGTATGGCTATCTCATCACATTCTCGGGAAATCTGAATTAAATCTAAAGAAGGTGAAACATCTGTTTTCCTCTAAACTATATAGTACACTATGTGCACCGCACATGGGTCATCCGTGACGCCAGACTGACCCGTTAAATGTGTCCAAAGTTGATTACAGGTACATTACTTCTTAAAGATATTATACATAAACTCTTGAATCGGTATATCTACTTACTACTTTGTAATTTATAAAGCATCGTGTTTGAAATACATGTCCGTGCAATAAACATTGTATTTCTATTTTATTTAATGCTTTTAAATATTTATGTTATATCACACCTTTTTGCAACGTCGTATTCCTGTTCCTTTTTTGTATATTGTGTATATTGTTTGCTTTTCCACATTTGTCTCAAGTTACACATGAAAGCAAGCAGTACATATGGGCACAGTCATGCTATTATTATATTATATTATATATCATCAGTCATTAGCCATCAGTCAACCTTAGAACGCTCTATAACCCGTCATATATACGATAAACCATACTGTGATATGCTTCTAGTTTTATTGTTTTATCTGTTAATTGTTAGTATCACTTACTAATGGTTTGATGATTACAGCGCCTCCCGTGCCATCCATGATCACAAGTACACCTCCAATGCTCCGATCCATCAGGTAATTTGTGCATTGTACAATGTGCATGTTCACCACAGAGATTATTGCAATGGTCTAGTGGTCCTGAACCTGGTTCTGATTACAAAAGCAAATAAGCCTTAACAGTTATGTTAACACAAAATTTCTGAATTCAAACTTACATAATGTTGCAAAAAAAGTTTCTGTACAATTTGGTATCACTTTATTATTTGTTTCAATGAACTTTTATAGAAATCTGAAATACATAACAAGGCATTACAATGACAAAATAGCAAGACATAAACTTTCTGACTTATTTTATGTAGGAAGTCATAATGTAAACATAAAAGAATATACACGTGGATCTTATTATAAAGAAAAATTGACAAAAAGATATACAATCGGCCTGATTGTTTGAATGACATTTTAGTATTCTGGATGATTTTGCTAACAAAAATGCATAAATTTTTCTTCTAATACAGTTTTATATGTTTTATTCAAAACAATTTTGAGTATCTTATTATGCTTAAGGGAAGGACAGTTGCTAATGTTGTTTATTCCTTTTGTCTTTTGTTAAAATTGTTGTTATGTGGAATGATGTTTTCAAATTATATTCAAAGAGCAATACAATATTATTTAGTATCATATTAGTGACCATTTGATTCACAATCCAAAACTCGGTGCAGACCTTTCCTTTCGGTCGATATATAAATATTCTTGCTGAGTGCAAAACATTGGCACTATTCTTTTCTTCGCTTTCGTTGTCCCCCCCCCCGCCTTTTTGTCTTTTGACAAAGTTCCGTTAACTCTATATTAAGTATATCTTTATACCTTAATTTCAGTATATTTATGATAAAGTGTTGTTCAAACAATATCACAAATATTTTAATTATCAGATAAATATATTCTTATGCAATTCTGCGAGGAAAAACATAAGCTTAAAGAACTGAAAAGAAAATGAAATAGAAAATGCGAGTGAATCGTAACAGAAACAATTGGAGCTTCGCTGGGGCGTGTGAATATGCATTCGATGGCAAATGCTTAATATGTTATCAGATAAAATATAAAGGCATTAACACCTTATGCAATCAATAAGTTCACTGCTCTAAAATTTGGATAAACTAATATAAAAATAATTTCACGGATTTGTGTTTGTTTGTTTATTCTTATTATTAAAAAAACAAACTAGAATTGATTCCCTTTTTGAATTTCCCAGCTATATTTTTTTCGTGTAAATTATGTCGCCGAAACCTTAACATATAGACAGTGGATATCTCTAGAGCCATAAGTGCTATTTATGTTGAGAAGACACCGCGCACCTTAGATTAATGTATTCATCATATACACACATTTATATGTGCTTCATTTATATGCAAAAATCCATGTATAAGAATCATAAAATTCAAATCAAATGAACACATCAATATTCATTTTATGTCATGAACAACATAATTTTTTGAGCGTACCAGAATAGCTTTTAATGTTCTGTCCTTCGGAATTTTCATGCACATGCGTTTCCAGGATCTTGAGCGTTATTCTTGGTTTCGTTATTTTATTTGCATTTTATAAAATGACATTTTTATCACAGTAAATTAGTATGCTAAATTAGCTGCTCATTAGTTTATAATGGAATTTTAAAAGCAGTGATAACTTGACTGTTATAAAATGTTTAATGGGAGAAAGCACAGTTCACATATCTCAAATTACCTCCGAATAGTTTTTATAGTGTATGCGTTTCAGAATAATCCTTAAAATTATTTTGCTAATTTTGGAATTGCCTATGAGATTACCTGATTTATGTTTGTAATTTTAAAATGACCAATGGAAATTCTACCTATATTCATTTCTTTCCTTATATGTTACAGGAATTCAAATTGTTGTTAGACGGACTTCGTCCGAAAAAGTAGCAAATATTGCTATGTCAATAGATTATAAGTATTTTTGTGGAAGCTGTATCAAGATACCAAAAATATAAAACTTAGTCCAGAATTGATCATAGCAACCTTTTGAAAAGGGTATTTTTGTATGTTTTGTATATCTTAATTAAATGAGGTTATTTAATTAGAATTATTTATATGATTATTAATTATTGATAAAGCACTCGAAATTTAAATAACAAGAACCGGTTGAGCCGGGTGATGCTCCCCGAATAGGTTTTGGACACAGGAAAGTATACCTTTAGTAGTGTCACATTTATGTCTCTGACAAAGATCAGTGTAAAAATAAACAAAGGGTAATAACTCCAAAATTAAGCATAGCAGAGTTAAGGTTCTTTTGCACTGCACTTCTATTTAATGAGATCAATCTACCTACAAAGTTTCATGTTGATGTTCATGTTGATACCTCTTATGGTATAAAATTATGTCCAAGTTCAAAGTTTTGCATAAAAAACTGATTATTTTGGAAAACGAGATGAGGGAATGACCTGGGAATTTGCTAAAAAAAATTGGTCCTGACATGATTAAATGAAACGAAAATTTCGGAAAAAGTATTTGCAGCCCCGTCATGTCAAAAGTTAAATTAGTGGAGTTCCTTAAACTGTTAAAATAGACAGATTCCTTCACTGTGCAATTAAGATAATGAGTAAGATAGACAGATTCCTTCACTGTGCAATTAAGATAATGAGTAGGTACGAAAATTTAATTTAAAAAAAAAGGATAAATGCAATTAAAGGTTATATCAGCGATTTCGTAGTGGTCGTTGTTGTTTGGTGAACATAGTTGACGCTACATGTGATGCCGATACTGACACGGAACAAGTTGCTGTATACTATATATTTTCTAGTTGTTTTTGACTGATAAGTTTCCAGAAATGATAAAAAGATAAGATCATAAAAATAATTTTTAAACAGTTGTCTATGGATGCGTATATGTCATATACCGAATAAATGTAACATAAGTTAGATTTTCGAAAGAAAGTACCAGTCTGAGACATATTTGGTACATTACTTACAAAGAAAGAATACGGTTCTAATGGGCACAAAAAACAACAGAAAATTTTACACAGCAAAACGAATGAATGTTTATGTATACATCATATTTCATCAGATCGGAGACAATATAATTTTTTTCAAATTAAAGCGTCTCAGTTATTACAAACAGATTAAAAAAGACAGAATTTGAAACTAATGGTGAAACTCGCACTGAAAGTATCCAATTGCAGCCGATCAAGGTCAAATGCTCTAAGTCCGACAAAAGGTCATGATGAGATAAAGAATGTTTTCACTAACGTTATTGTGGTTATCGGATATCGGTCAAGTTCAAGTGAACAAAATCTTTTCATACAATACTCGTAAAACAGTATGATACCTGATGTTAGGCTTCAGTCAAGATTTCAACAAAAATTCTATTTCGGTTGACAATTTTCCATTCGCTAGGTTTTTTAAGATAAAATTTGAATAACGAGCGATTACAATATTTCGGTTGACAATTTTCCATACACTAGGTTTTTTAAGATAAAATTCGTATGACGAGCGATTACATTATTTTTTTTCAATCCTACAAACAATAATCATTTACAATGGAAAGAATATATTATTGTGAAGCAAAACTTAATAGCGAGCTCGAAGAGCTGGCCCGAATGCCCTGCTCGCAAAGCGAGCTTTAAGGTAACGCGAGTAGGCCTACCTGCTATATAGCGCTATATTGCTTAACGGTTAAACCACTTCTTTTAATATTAGAAAAAATAACTTTGTTACAGAACATTTTATTCTTTTTACGAAAAATATTCATGTGTGTTACATATAACACAAACGTTCTATGTTAAATTTTTTTTTTAAAATCGCACACAATATTATGTAATTTTCTGTAGAAAGAGCATCGAAACATTAGACTATCTGATTTGTACTCGGGGGAACCCGATTATAAATCAGATTGTCGAGTGTTTTGATGTCCTTTCTCTTTTGTTTCATAGGCAAACATAAAAACACGTTCCATATCGTCAGAATATGAAACTTTACAAAAAGTAACCAATAATCGAACATCTGAATAAGATATTTCTATCGCTATCCATTTCCCTGTCAAACACTAGAAAAAATAAGCCAATCAATGGGCATGCTTTGGAGTGCGGGTAACTAATACTCCAGTTAACACAGTGTGCATGTATATGTATACGATTTAACTTTGACACATCTTCAACAGAAAGGTCCCTAAATGATACATAAAACAATGTAATTTAACTGTTCATGAATTTAATGATTATACTTCATAAGATCTAGCTGTAATAAATAACAAGAACGTGTTTGTTAAACACAAAAGAACCCGGCTCAGATTCTAGTCAGTAACAACAGTTTAAAAAATATTTACCCATTCACTCAGAGGAGGACGGAAAATTGTCAAAAAATGTAAATACAACAGAGTTATGGCGTTTTGTAATTGTGAAAAATAAATGTTGGCAAGTCATTTGCTATGACTTGTGATATACATATTAAAGGACCACCTTGCGTATGTTCCTTGTAAGTATGAGACATTTGTAAACAACCAAACAACAAAGAAAGGCTGTATAGAAAATTGTAAAAATCTCTTTTTAGCACTGGTGACCTTGACCCAAATGATCCAATGATGCAAGTTATCATCCTTTCAAATATGAAAAATATTAGTCAAAAAATGGCTGTTTTAGCAAATGTGTAGAAATCTGTTATTGACCTTCTTGACCTCGACCCACTGACCCCTAGCTCAATCGAAAGGAAAAACATGCAAGTTATCTTCCAATCAAATATGAAAGACATCTGTACATAAATAAAGGCTATATGGACAAAAGTGAAAAAAATAGCACTGGTGACCTTGACCAACTGGCCCCTAACTCAATCCAAAGGAAGATGACCATTCAAATTATCAACCTACCAAATATAAAAAAAAAAAACATCAGTAAAAAAATAATTGGCTGTATAAGCAAATGTGTGGAAATCTATTTTTGGCATCTATTTTAAAAATATAAAGAATATAAATACATTTTTGACATTCGTGATCTTGAACTTGAGCCAAATGACCCCTAATTAAACCCAAAGGAAGAGGACCACCCTTAGCAGTTTTTATTACAACTTAAAAATAAAGACTGTATAAGCAAAACTGTTGTTAAAATTGTTTTTTACACCAGTGACCTTGACCTTGACCCTAGGGATGCATTACTCCTTAAAAAATTAGAGGACCATTCAAGGTATCCACCTACCAAATACTAGAACTATCACTAAATGTGATGAAAGATAGCATTAAATAAATGAAGTAATTAGGAGAAATTTAAGATAAATCCAACTTGCCGGAATAGGTTAACCATACAAGGCCCTATTTTCAAAGTGATAAAAAGGGAAATAACTGGGAAAAATGGATGGCACAGTTATATAACTTGGCAATATCATGTACTTTGTATTGATAAGTAAGTGTGATAACTATGAAGCTATTAGTATAGATAGAACTAAAATATATCCAACTTACCATTTTAGGTTAACCAATTATTCATTTTCTAAGTGCTGAAAAGGGCAATAACTTGGTAAAAATGGCAGCCATAGCCAGATCATGTACATTTTGTTGATAAGTAAGTGTGTAAAGTATGAAGCCATTGGTATAGGTAGTACTTAAGAAAAATCCAACTTGCTGTTTGAGGTTAACCTCGTACGGACGGACGGACGATTCAATTACTATATGCCCGGGGCATAAAAATCGTCAACTTTTAATAATATGTATGTCATCAGAGAAGATCATGAAGGAACATAATATTTTCTTACCTGTGGACGTTATTCTTCTATAGCATAGTAATCCTGTCCATCCAGCATAACAATTGCAGTGTGCCGCCTGTTGCGAATCCTGCACGCAATAACCGTTATAGCAATGGCGATGTGTGCAATTAGTATGGTTTGAGGTCACAAGATCTGTCGTTACAGTAACAAAATCAACATGTAAGATGAACTTATATTTAATAATATCACATACCCGTGTCGATTTTGTTAGTCCGTAAAAAACGGTACTGCACGGCCGTGCATATATTTTGACATGACGTCATTCTATAATTCATTACACAAACATAGTGTAAATGAAACGAAAACTGATTATTTTGCGCTTTAAACTGTTTTGTGTGTGGGGAAGGGGGGAGTATGTGATCAACAGACTATTATATTCTTGTAGGTTCATTTATTGAACTCGCTGAATATAATTAATTTATAATTAGTGGAAACGTCACTACTGGCTACTAGTCACTGACATTACCCGTAACTCTAGCATACGACTTAACTAAATTATTTCCCTTTTTTGAAATTCTTGGTTGTATTTCTCGTGTAAATTATGTCACCGAAACCTTCACATATAGACATTGGAAATCTCAGACTTTTCTCTAGCGCCATGATGGTGAGAAAATACCTGTAACTCTAGCATGGGATTTTACTAAATTATTTCCCTTTTTTTAAATTCTTGGTTGTACTTTGTCGTGTAAATTATGTCACCGAAACCTTAACATATACAGTCGACATTAGAAATCCAGACTTTTCTCTTGGGCCATGATGGTTAGAAAATATGGCGCACCTAACTGAATTCGTTGACTTTAGTCAGTTCCTAGCAAATGGTTTGCCAGTGACGACGTTCTCTTGAAACTTCATGAAAGCATAAATCAGCATAAGTCTGCTCATATGTCAGTTTTGAGAGGTTCTGAAACCTTTAACATAGTGAAACTGTTGTACAAAGTAATTTCAGGTACAAGAAGTCATCGTGATTGGATTTTTGTATCAAAAAAGTCTTATTTAGCAAAATGTTACGGCCCCTTGACCAACAATGTTGTAAAAAGGGTAGAATGACACATTTACCTGGTGCATGCGTGCTGTTGGAATGTCCGCTGATGATAAATCTTCTATCCTTATCTAAAGCAAGAAATCACGGTCAAATGTAAGATGATTTGTAACACGATTTATTTATCTTCAATTATTTAAAGATATACATGTACTTTCCTCATCCTTGAGCAAAATATTTTAATCACAGCAATTTTTTGAAATCCATTTAATCCATTTAATTAATTCAATTAAATATAATAAATTATTTGTAAGGTTATTATAATTAATCTGGATCCATGAAGCTTTAAATATATCACATATATGAATTTATAATACAATTATATCAATATGCAGTATATATATAAGACATAAATCAATCTGGTTTTCAAATATTCACATATAATTTACATATTACACAATAAAACTCATATTTCAACATGTTGTACTTTAAAACACACATAACTACAGGTAGTACCATAAAGAGGCATATTTCATTCTATTGTGTAATATACAACATACATTTCCCAAAATACCATATAAGATATATTATCAATCTGCAGTACAATTAAACACATGCATGTATATCAACATATACTACCATATATTAGATATATATCATTATGAAATACCATTTAACATTATACATTATATCTTCAGTACCATTACATACATATATCAACCTATAGTACAATATAACACATAAAAAATGAAAATGAAATACCACATAACACATATATTTATTATTGTTATATGTAATAACTTAAGTCATGTTTTGCATGAGAAATTATATGTATATATATACCGGGTTGTAACATGTTAAAGTCACTTTGAGGTCAGATACAGGCAGTGAAACTAAACTGGTTCGTTTAGTCATGGAAGATAGTTCGAGCAGCCATATTGGGCGTTCACATCATCAGGAAAATATAGTGGAGAGAGGAGATAGAGCAGATAGAGCTAGCTATCCAGAATCTGGAGGTAAGTCCCCGGGGGATTCAGTAATTGAAGCTTTTACTTTATTTTGAGATTATCTCAATACTCAGTTAAAGGACTTCTTTAAATGGGACTTGAATTTAAAATTACATGATACTCCTTCAGTCAAGTTCAAGAAAGAAACTAATCGTATTCAGTATGAGTAGTTTAATCTTGATATTCTTCGCAGTTTAGAAGTGGTTGCTGACGATAAATTTCGTATTCCTGCCGAAATTTTCGAGATAGTGTCCAGTGTTATTTAAAAGGTCAAACATAAAAAAAAATAAGTTAATTAAAGTAGCTGATAGTTCTGAAGCCAGTTCTTGGATCAGATAGTGAGGACGAAAAGCGCATTAAACAGGCGGGCGGAAGCCAGGGCTGTACGGAAAATCAAAGCAACCACTTCTACTAGTAAACCTTCTTTCATTCCTTATAAACGTCCTGTTTCTACTTTCATGTCGAGAGAATTGCCTTCCGATACTGTTCCATGGGGAAAACCGGCTTTTTCCTTTCGTGACACATCAAAACAAAGCTCCATCAGAGATATTTGCTTCGCATACGGACAGTGAGGACATTTCCACCATGAGTGTCTAAGATTCTGGTCAAATTCAACGAAGCGCTTTACACCGGACAACTTCAGAAGCTCAAGTTTAGAAAGCTCCGCAGATAAACGAACAGATAAATGATAAGAATTTTTTCAATGCCCTTGAAAGAGAGTTGAATATCAAGAAAATTTATCTTCACCAACAGAAAACAATACATGTGTTAAGATTCGTTGAAAGAAGCACTTTTCTTATTGGAATGACATTGGTTGTAATTCTGATATTCTTGACATAATTGAAATTGGTTATAAAATTCCATTTCTTTATATGCCTGAAAGATCATTTTCAAAAAAACAATCGATCAGCTTTAAAAAATTTAGAATTTGTAGATTCTGCAGTTGAAGAACTTGTTCAAAACAAATGTGTTATTAAAACTCATATTATGCCTCATGTAGTTAATCCGCTTTCTGTTTCTATCAATAAGCAAGGAAAGAAAAGGTTAATATTAGATTTAAGGATAGTCAATAAACATCTTTGGAAAGATAAGTTTTCCTTTGAGGATTGGAAAAATGCTTTAAAATATTTTGAAAAAGAGTCTTTGTTTTATAAATTTGTATCACCATATTGATTTTTTATGAACAGCCCACACCTATCTGCCCCTGGACACCTACTACAACCCTGAAAAAAAAAATCGTTCAACACTCTAAGGCTTACTATAAGGTACCAAATACAAAACCACCGATGAAATTATATATATAAAAAAAAATTCCACTATCAAAATTATAGTTATAGAAAGGTGAAAAGCCTACTATATGTTCATTTGCCAAACAATGTGGAACACGGGAAATCGTCGTTTCGGCGATTGAGGCGCATTCCGGCGGGATTTCGCTGCATCATTCATTAACATCAATAACAAGAACTAGAATTCCACAGCTTATCTAATTCAAGTCCAACGAATATCACTATCATTCCGATTATTTCTGTTTCACGGTATTTTTTAATTGTCGTAGTCATTTTGCAGTCTGATACCTGGGTTGAAATACGCGATCTGATTGGACGAGCCAAATTGGACGTCCAATCAGATCGCGTATAACACACAGGTATCAGAATCCAAGATGGCAGCGACAAGTAAAAAATTACCGTGAAATAGAAAAAATCGATAGAATATTGATATTCGTTAGACTTGAATTAAGTAAGCTGTGGAATTCAAATTCTTTTTATTGATGTAAATGAATGATGCAGCAAAATGCCTTCGGAATGCAAACGACGATTTCCCGTGTTCCACATTGTTTGACAAATGAACATATAGTAGGCTTTTCACCTTTCTATAAATATAATTTTGATAGTGAAAATTTTTTATATATATATATATTATTTCATTGGTGGTTTTGTATTTGGTACCTTATAGTAAGCTTTAGAGTGTTGAATGATTTTTTCAGGGTTGTAGTAGGGGTCCAGGGGCAGATAGGGGTGGGGTGTCCTATAACACTGATACTGCCACCTGTGGTACTATCGTTGTTCCTAAATGGCATAGTTCTCCATTTTGGCCATTGTTATTTAAGAAAAAATTTTGTTCATAAGGATTTCATTTCAAAAGTCCTTGAATTTAGTGAAGGGCGAGATATATTTACTAAAACCGAAATTGACGGGAGTATTTTTGATTCTAGCAGATTTAAAAGTAAAGTCTTAGTTATTAGGATAGAATCAAATAATGCTGGTTGTTTTTGTAAGTGAAAAGAATAGTATATTTTATTTTTTATATTTTTAAAAAATATATATTTACAGATGATTAAATCATGAATTTCGCTTTTGCATATGATTTTCGTGATTTTCTCATAAATGGAAATCGTGGGAGTTGCTTGTTCAAATAATGACGTCAGACATGGAAATTAAATGGGTTAACTGTCCATTCTACATGTATTTTAGCCTTGTGGTAGACTGGAAAGTTTTAGATAAAAACTGCAAATTAAACATGCTAGATTTTTATCAAAATGCTAAATAATTTTGAAAGTGCTGATTGTGTTTCTAGAAGTTATATTAAATATTTTGAAGGCGGATTGCCTTTTTTAGTTTAGCGGATTTCAAATATTTGGAGCGGAATGCTTGTTTATATTAGCGGAATGCTAAATTATTTTATAAGCGGAATGCTTGTTGTATATTAGCGGATTGCTAAATTATTTTATAAGCAGAATGCTTTTTTTATTTAGCGATTTACTAAAGTATTCTTGTAAAGAGAAAATGTTTGCTTTATTTAGCGGAAGGCTTAAGACTGTTTACGAGCGGACATTGGTTACTTGTTACATGATTTTCTTAAAGGAATGCTGTTAATATTTATTAGAAATTTATACTATGTTAGCGATTAAATTTTGTTGGATTTACATAGCAGAATGTTTAATCATGTCCAGTAAAAGATCTTGAAAAATACTTGCTTTTATCAGGCATCTCTGACAGTTCAGAAGAATTTTTGTTTGGAAACTTTATTTTTGTAGAAAATCAAAAACTTATAAGCTAAGGGAAGGAAATCCCATATCCTATACAAGAGCGAGAGAAATATTTTTGTATCATATTTCTCATTTAGGGTTAAACAAGTCGAAATTTGGTCTTCATTCATTAAGGTCTGTGTGAGCTACAGCTGCAGCTCTTAAAGGTGTGCCAGATAGTCTTATCAAGATGCATGGTCGGTGGAAAACAGATGAAGCTAAAGACCTTTACGTTGAGAAAGTGATGATTTGAGACATTCTGTTTCCTTAAATTTAGGTTTATAAAAATTGTAGGAAGTAATATTCATGGTCGTTTTTGTTTTCACTTAATGAGTAAGTGTTAAATTTTTATTCAATATTCACACTTTTTGTTTAAATTTAAAAAATCTGGTTTTTGGGTGCCCGTTCTTTTTCTTTTGATGCCTGTATTGACCACGCCTATATATAAGTGTTTGATTTTTTTTCAAAACAAGGTTATAATTTTGTTTAATTATAAATGATTTATGTTTGTCTGAAGGAACTGACAGAAAATATATATATACTCCAACAACTTACTTTGTGTTGTTTTGAATATAACAACATATTTTACAAACACAAAATGTCTTTGTTTTAAGCAGACGAATTTATTCTTTATCTACGTATGACTTACCGCTCTCGGTTCCAGCTACCAAACATAAGCAACCAAACACAGTGACTACCAAAAGTGCTACAATATAGTGAATAAGTATTTTGTAAAAAGGTCAAAAATATAAGTGGTGGCGTGGCCGAGCAGTTAACGCGTCGGACTAGTAATCTAAGGATTGCTGACCGCGTGGGTTCAAACCCTATCAGGGGAAGCCGTTGAAAGCCATTGAGCAAGAAACTTTACATTAATTGCTTAATACTGGTTGGTTCCAGGAACGGATTCGAGAGTGTTTCAATAAGTTTATGGCTTCCAACACAATCGAACTAATATAAATTTGTATAAATCAAAAATACTGGTTTGTTTACAGCTTGCTACCTTTACGACACATTACTGCACGTTCAGCGGTAAATTCTTTAGTATTAAAATATGTAACATGCTTTGAATGCATTAATGAGACATATATCAAGGAATTAAAAAATATGGGTTTTTGTTTAAATTTGTAATATTGTAGAGAGATGTGATTCAATACAAGGAAAATATATACATCGATGCACAGTATATACTAGAATGGCCGAGTTCGTTATACTTGAAAACATGAAGTGGTTCGATATGTAAATCTTACTGTCAGTTACCGATCCAATATTGGACTTCTGTTGGCCATTGATCCATTATTGAACCACATGGTTCATCGATCCAATATCGCACAGGGACATAAAATGTGCTTTAAAAACCATCATTTCTGTTTCATATTCGATATTATTTTAGATCTTTCCTTTCACAGAAATATGTTATTTGTTATTGAATTGCTTTACGTTGTATGAGTTGATAATATAAATCTAATGATCTTACTTCTGTTTTAAGGTGATTTAATTGGCAGAAACGAGTGAAGTACAACTTTATTGTAGAGGGATTAAATATATAGCCGGCCAAACATAAGTTTATACTAATTTATTTAAGTTTGACTGTGTTAGAAGCTATGAGCTTATTAAAACACTCTCGAAGCCGTTCTTGGAAAACCAACTAAATAGTTTATTGCTCAAGATTACAACGGCTTGCCCCTGACAGGAATTTAACGCACGCGGTCAGCAATCCTTAGATTACTAGTCCAACACGTTACGCACTCGGCCACGCGTCCACTTTATAATAGTCTGACTAATACAATTATTTGCTACATAGTAACCTTAAAGTAAATGGTGGTTGTGGTGGTGGTAGTTTTCACACCGGATTACGGCAATAAGCCACATTGAATTTACCAGAGCACAGTTTCTCCTGGGCATGCTACCAAGCAGTTTACCAGTACTAGTTGCCTTCACTTTCGCGAGGAACAGACAATTCTGTACATACCAGAGCATAGGAACATTGCGAGGACCATAGAAAGAATTTTATGATCAATCACAACGAAAGTGACCTACCCAGTCCGGGAATCAAACATGGTTCGCCGGATTCACAGTCCAACGCTCTACCTATTGAGCTAACCGGACGGCTTTTTTAAAGTAAATGTCATTTTAAAATGATTTTATGTGCCACATCTCTTGCCTACAAGAATGATCGGCCGATATCCTGTCCGCGTACTAGCTTGGTCAAATATTGTAAATTTTACAAGGATTAGATTAAAGAGAGTTTAATTGAAACATGTCTATTGAATAATTAAGTTGTTACCTGACATACAATTTTGCCACATCTTCAGAACAAAAGTGTAAGATCTTTGGTTTCGAAAATCACGACTAAGTCTATATACATTAAAGCAACGTCATGCATTTGATCTCAACGATAGATAAGCCGGCGTATTATTTTCAATATCACATGTAAGTATGGTGGCTGATTTGGTACACTTTGCGCGTTGCGTTGGCGATAGCGACAACACATCCTATATCGTCACCGCCTTTTCGTCTTGTCGTCAAATTGTGAATGTAATGAAAACCTTCACATAAAGCCGGTGTGACTTTCAAAACATGACTGATATACTCGACATTAATTCTCGTAACCTACTTGGATCACACCGAAGATTGATCGAATGAGTGCTATAATGTATTCATAATTTACACGTCAATTGACAGGTCAATGAAATCAGACTATACACCCAGGCAACATGCTTTAAATCGTTAGCCTATGGGTAGTTATTTATTCCACAACTTAATTTGATCATAATAGCGACCTCTAGATAACTTAGATAACTTGCTTACTATAATGATGGTTACACAAGCATAACTTTCATACACCATTACACTTGCACGTGGAAAACATGACGAAAACAGATATTACCTGTACATGTACGTACATGTTCGTACCTTTATACAAGAAAAGTGTTAATTCATCTATTTTGTACATTAATGATTTCAAAAATTCTCCTCGAACTTACCAAATCCTTTACAGATCGGGCTTTAAATGCGTCCTCGAGCTGCTGCAGATCTCTGTTGTAGAAAAGACCAAATGAAGTATTCATAATTCTGTATGAGAACTGCATATCAAAGATGCAAACTGAAAAGAAGTCGATTTTTTTTAATTTCGAAATACAAAAAATTTGACCTTATTCATGTATTATTGTTGAATTCTGCCAATGCAGGACGAGGTGACGGGAGGGGAGGGAATGCTCTAACGTACCGTCAATCAAACCGAGTCTTCAACCTTAATTTGCCGTTTGGAATGTTCGGAAGTGTTTGCATTTTATCTGTTTTATAACGGCCGATCGTTTAAAATTCATACTCGTCACGATTTTTCCCTCTCTGAACATCACTTTCCTGTCCGTGATATTGTTTACAGGGAACGAAACCGAGATGAGTTGAGTGAAATGACTGGTGTTGTTGTTGTTGATGTTGTTTTATTTTATTTTTTAAGGAATGCAATTAATTTGCCCAATAACAAACTTTTTCTAAGTGCAATCAAAGTAGTATAAATTTGAATGAATTCATACGTCACAGGTCAATACACAGGTCAATACAACAATTCTAATTTATTTACTTTCAGTCCATTTAAAGTAGCCCATCATTACAAGTTTATATAAGTCAACAAATACCGTTCTGAGGTTCCTTCCGGTCATAAATGGTCGTCCATTAGCAGTGATTCCGATCACTTCATTACATTTATTGGATAAAACTTTCAGGAGCATTTGTTATTTTCAAACGCAGTGCGAGTTAGAATACCGGCATTAATGACGTTTAGGATATAAAACACTTGTTTGCAATATATAACTATAAAAACAATTTTCTTTCAAAAAAAACAAACAACAACATAATTTACAGAATTTAGGATTCACAAGACAATAACTTTCAGCGTAAATATGGTTTGTGCAACACAGAAGATACTTCTTTCATATTTTAAGGACAGTTTGTTCTTTTTATTTCTGATGATGATAACATCGGTAACTGTTCAAAGTTCGCTTGTTCCCTTTCATCGGGTATCAGGGTCATGTTATACGGCTGATCTTGGAAGTCTAAAGATGGGTTTTGAAATTCAGTGTCTTCATGCATGTAGAAATATCTCCACTTGTTCGACAGTAAGCTTTAGCAAGAAAGACCAAACGTGTGACCTTGGAACTACTTGGATAAACAAGGATTATCTTGTCCATTCTCCCGACTACGACGTTTTATACAGAACAGGTATTCTTAATTCACTACTTCATCTTTGTAACCTACATCATTTTATTAAAACATATTTCGTATTACAAATTTATTGTATCAAGTGTTATAAAGAAATTGGGTTTCTTGCAGATTTTCCGCAGTGCAGATTCTCCAAATGCTTCGAATATTTTGACCAAAAGAGGATTTGGACCCGGATGCCAACGTACGTACTATTTTCATTTATTTTCACAATCCAACCGAGTCTTTAGTTATCATTTATTTATGAATTATTTAAAGAAGGTGTCTTTAAGATTCACTTAATAAGTTAACAAACTATTTGGTATTGTAGAGCTAGTAAATCAGTTATTTTAAAAAAGAGGAAAAGAAACCCTAGCTATTAAAACAAATAGAACGTCATTCAAAATTTTAAAGGGCCCCAGTTTTAATGTTAACTAAAGAACCCGTCCGGTAGGTTTTAAAAGACCGAAAAAGGAAAATTCCAAGTAAAGTATAACTTTTGAAACGATAGTACATGTAGTTAAAAAGATCTCCCTAGCTAAAGTATCTATAGAACGTCTGTAATTTTAAAGACGGAATAGATCTCTCTAGCTAATGTACCTTTAGAACCTCAGTTATCTAAAAGAAGGAATAGGAAACCCCAGTTAATGTAACATTATAGAACGTCAGTAATTTAAAGGACGGAATAGACCTCCCTAGTTAATGTGAATTTAGAACGTCAGTTATTTAAAGAACGGAATAGACCTCCCTAGTTAATGTGACTTTAGAACGTCAGTAATTTAAAGAACGGAATAGACCTCCCTAGTTAATGTGACTTTAGAACGTCAGTAATTTAAAGATGGGAAATAGACCTCCCTAGTTAATGTGACTTTAGAACGTCAGTTATTTTAAGGACGGAAAAGACCTCACTAGTTAATGTAACTATTAAGAACGTCTTTTAATTTTAAGGACGGAATAGACCTCACTAGTTAATGTAACTATATAGAACGTCAGTTATTTTAAGAACGGAATAGACCTCATTAGTTAATGTAACTATATAGAACGTCAGTTATTTTATGAACGGAATAGACCTCACTAGTTAATGTAACTTTATAGAACGTCAGTTATTTAAAAAACGGAATAGACCGCTCTAGCTATAATGTGACTATAAAACGTCAGTTAATAGAGGATATTGATGGAATGTAGGCTCAATACTGAATTTATTAGGAGTTGATTTAAAATAATAATATATGAATAAAATATCATTTTATTCAACGAATTCAATAAATTCAGTAATAAAACCTTCACGAATATAATTTTCTTTTATCACATACCCAAAATAAAGACTGTTTAAATTTGCAAAAAGAATGTTTTAATTCCCGGCGCTATAGGGGGTAAAGCTTAATTTTAGCGCGTTTTTAAATACTATTTTGGAAAACGAAAAATAAACGTAAAAGTCAAAAAATTTTACGTAGATCGAGTTTGCCCGGGGTATGTGTTAGGGTAAAGAAAGGGAAAATTTATCTTCCTAGTTTGTTTAGTTCAGTGTAAGATGGGAATATTTTTTTCCCGGAGTGAGCCCCAAAAAGGAAATTTTTAAAAAAGTGGGGAGCTAGCCCAAATTTTTCTTTTTAAATTATATCCAAAAACGTTTAAAAAGACTTTTTTAATAAGTACTTTTTTAATAAAAGGGATCCAATAATAAAAACAACGTGACTTTTCATTTTAAACGACGTCACGTCCATTTTAAGGCTTGGTTTTTCCAAGTATTTTTCCTGAACGCTTGTTTTTTCACTGAAACAAGAGAAACGGGCTCAAATATTAAAAAACAGGAAATTTAAAATTTTTTAAATTAAATTAATTTCAGGGGTTTCGAAACAGTTAAATGCCCAAGGGTTTTTTTTTTTACTGAAAATTTTCTAAAAACCCCCGGGAAAAAGAAAAATAAAACTATAAAAACTTTTCAAATATCTTATAAGGACGGAAAGACTTCCCGAGATGTTTTATTTTAAAGAACTGGGAATTTTTTAATTCTTTTTGGGGGCGCCTTATGCATATGCTTATTTTGATTTTTCTCTTTATCGTAGACCTTTTGTGAAATACAGCATAATGGAGGACATCTTGCGCATATCAAAACAGAGTTGGACATGCAATTGCTCCGTAAAATAACCCAGGACAGTGGTAATAAACCTAAAACTTTTAAATCTTATACAAAACTTTTTATTTATTCAAACAAATATGTGTTATATTTCTAATTAAGCATATACTCTTTATCTTTAATGAAAAAGTATTTTATCTGAAATCAACGAAATTATTTCACAAGGACGTTCAGTATTATATCAACCTGTGTAGAACCATCGACGTTCCATAAGCTAAGTGGATAGGTTTTTCACATGAAATAATTCGAAGACACGTGTGCGGCTCCATCCTACAACGGTGACAGGCAAGTGATTTTAATTTAACGACCTTTACCACTCGGCTTTGGACGCCCTAAGTATAGTTGTATAGCTGTCTTCCTTTCAACCAAAGGGATCATCGGTTTGAGCACTAATGGACTTAATTCATGTAGTTCCATGAAGCCGACTAAGAGGGGCTTAACAATTCTGCTTCAATCTTATCACATTCATAATGTATGAACACATTAACGAATGCTTTTTTTAATCTCAAACTTCACTACAGTATTTCGATGTATTAGTAAATTGAATTTCTAAATTTAGCCGGTGCTTAGGGGACGCGGACGGTAGCCTACAATTATCATTGCTATCTGTGAACTTGCTAAATAAACAGGGCCCGAAACTTTTTCTGTTTTGTCATCTTGTGCGTACTTTATGATTTCAATTTTGTTTGTTTTAGTTTGGATTGGAGCCACAGACGCTACAATCTGAAGGCATATTTCATTGGACTGACAACGACGTGATATCTAATGGTTATACCAACTGGGATCCAGCTGAGCCTAATAATGAATGGTGACGAAGGATTGTGTGGAGGTTTTAAATCATATCATGGACGTTGGAATGATAAAGAATGTGACTATAAAATAAGATATGTGTGTCAGTATCCCTATCTTAGTATCCAGTGATTTTTTTTCGCATACACAGGCTGTTTACCCCTAGCCATTATGTTGTTTCCCTTAGCCAATATGTTGTTTGTCCTAGCCAACAAGTTGTTTCCCCTAGTCAACATTCTGTTTGCCCTAGCCAACATGCTGTC